GGGGGGAGGGGTCGCAGATAACGCGGTGACTGGTTCGCCGGTCCGTCCGCTAGGACACTCACCCCGCCCGCTGTCGCCCATCCCGTCCCGTCCAGCCTCCCCTGGCTCCGGCTCCGGGGTTTGTTGTTCTCCGGCTGCTGCCGCCGCCGCCGCCGCCGCGGGATCCAGCCAGGGCCGTCGCCGCCGCCACCGGGAGGCGACCCCACAATGCATTTCTTTTCGCACCCCCACCGGCCCACACTGCCCTGCGGCATGCCGCTGGGGGAGGAAGGGCGGGCGAGCAGCCCAAGACATGACTCTTGGGTGAGTGCAAGGATACCGTAGAGGTACCAGGGATTCCCACGTATTGACCGGGGGACTAGCTGAGCACGAGGAAGCCCCAGAGAAAAAGACTCTGGCCTGAACCGGGTCAAATTAAGCGCTTCGCTCTGCTCTGTACCAAAATGACAGCGCCGATATGGCAGCCATCTTGGTATAGACGGGAAGTCTCCGTGCTAGTTCCCGCCCCCTCGTCTAGTTGGAAACGGAGGAGGCGGTCTCCTCAGCCCAGTTAGCCAGCCTCGCCCAGCCTCCCCTCAAATAACCTCCACACCTGCGCATGCGCGCCAGAGCAGCGTGGCCTCGCCGCCACTGGTGTGTCGCCATCTTGGTAAAGGTATCGGGACGGAGGTGGAGCGGAACTTCCTGTTCTCGCGGGAGCCAGAGGCGGGACTGCCACGTCCGAGCAAACCGGGAAAGGAGAAGATCCTGAAGCCGGTGAGAATTCCCTGCTTTACCCTACCGTCCTTTCCAGACCTTTTCCATCTTCTAGTGGATCATAGAGACTAGGGCCCAGAGAGTCCGTAAAGTGGAGGATCAAAGCCTAGAGCGGTGTCCCAGGGCCCTACATCCGGGAGGGGGTTCGAGATAAAGAGACCGAGTCTTGGGAACAATGTGGGTGGGGACAGAACGGAATGGGGGAGCGGCCCATAGAAGTGGACGGAGGGCACGAACGGAGTAAAACTGACCCTGCATAGGTGTAGAGTTGAGGGTCAAGTGGAGTCACTATCTCTGTCCCTCTGGTCAGCGTGATGGCCAGGGGCCTGGGGGCTCCCCACTGGGTGGCCATGGGACTGCTGACCTGGGCGGCCTTGGGGCTGCTAGTGGCCGGACACGGGGGTCATGGCGACCTGCACCAGGACCTGCACGAAGACTTCCATGGCCACAGCCACAGGCGCTCACAAGAGGATTTTCACCATGGACACAGTCATGCCCATGGCCATGGCCACACTCACGAGAGCATCTGGCATGGGCATACCCACGGTCACGAACATGGACATTCACATGAGGATTTGCACCATGGCCATAGCCATGGCCAATCCCATGAGACCCTCTACCACAGAGGACATGGACATGACCATGAGCACAGCCATGGAGGCTATGGGGAGTCTGGGGCTCCAGGCATCAAGCAGGACCTGGATACTGTCACTCTCTGGGCCTATGTGAGTCCCCAGGGGATGGGAGAGAGAGGGGCCGGTTCTGGATTGTTGGGAAACCCCACACCACTTGACCCCTGACTCTCCCCTCACCAGGCACTGGGGGCCACAGTGCTGATCTCCGCAGCTCCATTTTTTGTCCTCTTCCTTATCCCTGTGGAATCAAACTCCCCCCGGCACCGCTCTCTGCTCCAGATCTTGCTCAGTTTTGCTTCCGGTGGGCTCCTGGGAGATGCCTTTCTGCACCTCATTCCTCATGCCCTGGGTAAGTGATTTTTGGCCACTACTGCAAATCTTAACATATTTTATTCTCTGGGCAGAAGGGTTCTTCATCCTTTGTGATCCTTGACCTTCCAATATTCTCCCAAATGCATGCCCCTTGGGCAGGGTATTCACTCATCTGGCTTTTTCTCCCCCTTCCTCTAGAACCTCATTCTCACCACCCTCTGGAGCAGCCTGGACATGGACACTCCCACAGTGGTGAGGAAGGGGTGGATGGAGATGTATTGGGATGTTGAGAGAGGTCTTTCCCTCCCTGTTCTCTTCCTGCACTTGGGGAGGAGGAGTCTGGAATCCATATTTCCCTTAATGTCTCAATGTCTCTATTCCCAGGCCAGGGACCCATTCTGTCTGTGGGACTGTGGGTCCTCAGTGGAATTGTTGCCTTTCTTGTGGTGGAGAAATTTGTGAGACATGTGAAAGGAGGACATGGACACAGTCACGGACATGGACATGCTCATGGTCACACACAGGGAGGTCATGGGCATGGAAGACAGGGTGAGTACAGGAACAGCTTTCCTTGAAAGCCACCTTGCCTGCTGCAGAATCCCCTTACCTTACGGCTCTTCAGCAGGAGGGGACTTCCCTTTTGAGGACATTTCTGGAGACTTCTGTTCTCCACTCTACTAACTTCTTCCCTCAGAGCGTTCTTCAAAGGAGAAACAGAGCTCAGAGGAAGAAGAAAAGGAAGCAGGTGGGTCTCGGAAGAGGAGAGGAGGGAGCACAGGGCTCAAAGATGGGCCAGTGAGACCTCAGAATTCTGAAGAGGAAAAAAAAGGTTCAGGTGAGGGCCAGGGTTATCGATAAACTTGGGCAAAGGATATCACAAATCACATGGAATATACACTGTGGGTAATGGCAGGTGTCTGAGAAACGTGAAGGGGCTGGATGTGAAGTGGTCTCTGGGGGGAGATGTGATAATGGCTGAAGGGCTGGGACAAGGGGTGGTAGATGACTCTAACCATTGTCTTCCTTTTTACTTGTACAAGATCTGCGTGTATCAGGGTACCTGAATCTAGCTGCTGACCTGGCACACAACTTCACAGATGGTCTGGCTATTGGTGCTTCATTTAGAGGAGGTCGGGGGCTAGGGATCCTGACCACAATGACTGTTCTGCTACATGAAGTGCCCCATGAAGTTGGGGACTTTGCCATCCTGGTCCAGTCTGGGTGCAGCAAAAAACAGGTTGGTAATGATGTGCGCGAGACACGATTGCCTCAGTCTTTACCTCTCCTGTTCACCCACCCAAAACCCAAGATCGCCTCGCATTAGTTTCAGACAAGTTGGTACTGTTAGAAACAATACAGCCTCTAGAAACGAGGGAGAAGAACTTCTGTTTCTTTGTCCTGTGACTCAGTATTTCTTGAATTCTAGTCCACAAACCGTCTGAATGGTTTATCAGGGTGTTTTACACTGCCCCCCACCCTGACCTTCCGAATCAGAAGTTCTGTGGAAAGGACCTCTTTGATATTTTTAGGTTTTTCAGAAAGTGTCGATTCTAGATCCTCCTCTTTTTGCCTTATTCTTCAGGTCCCAAAGACTTGCACCCTTCCCATATATACCTGTACCCCACCAAACATGCCTAACCACTGATCATCTTTAGATGTTGTTGAATGCCTTTCTGTCTTTTCTGCCCACCAGGCGATGCGTCTGCAACTACTGACGGCAATAGGGGCACTGGCAGGCACAGCCTGTGCCCTCCTAACCGAAGGAGGGGCAGTGGGCAGTGAAGTTGCAAGTGGTACAGGTCCTGGCTGGGTTCTGCCATTCACTGCAGGTGGCTTCATCTATGTAGCAACGGTGTCCGTGTTGCCTGAGCTGTTGAGGGAGGCATCACCATTGCAGTCACTTCTGGAGGTGCTGGGGCTGCTAGGGGGAGTTGTCATGATGGTGCTGATTGCCCACCTCGAGTGAGAGGTGGGGTAAACCGTCCCCACTCCAGCCCTAAATCTCTAGTGTGTAAGCCTTCCAGGTCCGGGGTCTGTGGAAGCTGGGGACCCTGGCCAGGGATGTCTGCTGAAGGAAGTTGTAAGCTAGGGAAGTGGTAACGTTGGCATTAGGGCCATCAAGATTTTGCAGTCTTATAAGAGCTGCAGAAGTGAGAATGAGAAGTCAGAGGGACCATAGTGTTAGTCATGTGCTAACCATGTTGTTGGGTTTAGGGGGTTAAATGGGGCCATGAAGAAGGCTGGAGAAGAGAGGTGATGACAGCCTACCCCGTGTCCCCTACCGAACCTGTTTGCAGAAAACCAAGCTACCAAGAGCAGGTTTATCCAAGGTCCACCCTCCCTTCCCACCTGTTGGTGGAAGCTTCAGGGAAGACCAGAGTCCTGGACAGAGTGGGTAGCAGGAAGAGTGGGGGATATACATCAATTAAACATCAATCGTGTGTCCTGATTTGGGAGTGATTGAGGGGGGGGAGGTGGGCTTGCCAATCTCGTGGCCTGATTTTTTTTTCCTATTCTTTTGATATCACTGAATTGAGGGGTAGGGGTGGTAACCGGAAATAAAGTCCTCGGATCTTCCGCCCCAAACGCGGTCTTTGTCTTTTTTGAAAGAATGAGGGCCCCTCATCTTCCCATTCCCCAGGCCCCCAAGCGGTGGCGCGTGACCACGCCCCCGCGGTGGAGGGTCAGCCTGTGCTGGTGGCCTCCGAAGGCTCAACGCTGGCCGGGCTTAGGTTGGCGCGGCTTTGCTCTTGCCACGCCTCCTCTGCGCTAGGATTGGTTCAGTGCTGGGTTCAGTGCCCGCCCACCCGCCGGCGGACATGGCGTCTCAGCTCCGTCTCCGCTCGGCGCTGGCCCTGGTCACAGGTTGAGGGAATGTTCTTCCAGGGCGGGTCGGGGTGCCGGAGTGTTGTCCGGGGACGCCCTTGGGGTCTGCAGCCGCTGTGGCCCCTGGTCCGAATTTTACTACTTTGCGCCCTGTTGACCCCTGACCCCGCCTACTCCTCCCTTTCTCCCCTTCCCCCCACTCCGTGTGTTCTCTCCCACCTCAGGCGCGGGTAGCGGCATCGGCCGAGCTGTCAGTGTGCGCCTGGCCAGAGAGGGGGCCGCCGTGGCCGCTTGCGACCTGGACGAGGCGGCAGCAAGCGAGACGGTGCGGCTGCTGGGCGGGCGGGGTAGCGAGGAGGTGGCGCCCTGCGGGGGCCACGCAGCCTTCCAGGCTGACGTGTCTGAGGCCGGGGCGGTCAGGCGCCTGCTGGAACAAGTACAGGTGAACGCGAGACGACCTCGCCCCCTTTTAAGAGCCAACATTGATTGTCTTCACTAACCCGGCTCTACTTGGGTTTTGGTGTGTAACCGCCCCCTTCCATAGGCCTGCTTTTCTCGCCCACCGTCCGTCGTTGTGTCCTGTGCTGGGATCACCAGGGATGAGTTTCTGCTCCACATGTCTGAGGATGACTGGGACAAAGTCATAGCTGTCAACCTCAAGGTGGCGACTTCTGAACCTGTGACTTCTGGTTTCTCTAGCCTGGGGGAGGGAGCTGGAAGAGGACTGTCACCCAACTGTTCCTTTCTGCCTTGTTACTCTTTCCCCACCAGGGCATCTTTCTAGTCACTCAAGCTGCAGCCCAACTCCTGGTGTCCAGTGGTTGTCATGGTTCCATCATCAACATCAGTAGCATCACAGGAAAGGTCAGGTTGAGTTAGGAGAAGGTCAGCCAGCCAATTGGGCACAAAGAGGAGAGCCCCTCCTTGGGACTCCTGACTCATTCCAAATCTCTGACTCACCTATAGGTGGGGAACATGGGACAGACAAACTACGCAGCATCCAAGGCTGGAGTGATTGGGCTGACCCAGACTGCAGCTCGAGAACTTGGCCGGTTAGTCAGACACAGCTGGGGGTACAGAGGGATTTGCTGAGCCGTGTGGGAGGTCTGGGGAGGGGGTGTGTCAGTGTTGAGCCCTTTCCAGAGTCAGCAGCCACTCTCCCTTCCACAGACATGGGATCCGCTGTAACTCTGTCCTCCCAGGGTTCATTACAACACCTATGACACAGAAAGTGCC